AAGAATCCTGAAAAAAATCACACTTTCCACATTTATAAAAAAATATTAAGCACTTTTTCCATTCATATTAATTACAAAAAATATATAAAAAGACTGAAGAAATGACTGCTGCAAATCCAGCTTTGTCATCACAGGAATAACTTGCATTTCAAAGCACAAAAGATATTGAAATAGAAATTGATAATTATCCATTGAAAGGGCTTTTGACCTTTAGTAGCTGTTACTTATGTGGTGTATAATAATTTCCAGGTTCATGTGCTGTTGACTTGTGAGTACATCAGTGCTGTGTTAATTGTTGTCTGTGGTGTTATGTAATAAGTCCAGTACAGCAGCACATCTGTTCAGGGAAGGTCATCCTGTTGTGTCTTCTGAATCATTATGCAATATACAGCTAAAAATATTGGCTGTGCGGTTAAATATCTTCATTCTTTCCGTCTGTCTGCAGTGTGGTGTTGCAGATGGCGAGGGCTTTTTGAGCCTCTGGCAAGTCAATCAGACCTCCTCAAACCCCAAACCGTATTTGGTAAGAGCTTGATCTTGGTACTGCACAAGCTTTACATTACTGACAGTCACAAACTGCCCTCATAGTGTGATTGAATTAAAGCATGTGGCATCTGCAAACAAATATTACTAGAACTTTTATTGAAAATAACTTCACTATTAAATATATGTCACCATATAATAGCATCTCTGTGTGTCTGTCTCAGAGCTGGCAGTGTCACAGTAAAAGCTGCGGTGATTTCGCCTTCATTACATCCTCCAGTCTGATCGCCACAGCAGGACAGTCCAATGATGGCAGGTCAGTTAAATGATGTATCTTACTGTCACATAGAAACAGACTATATACAACATTTTTAAGGAAATATTTCACTTTCTTCCACAGGAATGTTTGTTTATGGGACACTCTGGTCTCTCCAAGTAACTCAATGATACACGGTATGTCCACAGGCTCTTGAGGGAAGATGTTTTTAAAAATATGTTGAATAAGTGATTTTATTTTCAATATTGTTTAAAAGATGTCGTAAAAAGGTTGCATTCTGGTATTTCTCTATATCCAGCGTTCCAATGCCACGAGAATGGTGCAACGGTTCTTCAATATGCTCCTAAACAGCAGCTAATCATCACGGGCGGCCGGAAGGGCTTCGTCTGTATTTTTGACATCCGTCAGAGACAGCTGCTCCACACATTCCAGGCACATGATTCGGCCATCAAAGCGCTGGCCATGGATTCCACTGAAGACTTCTTTGTCACCGGCTCAGCCGAAGGGAACATGAAGGTATATTCCACTAACGTGACACAATTCATCTTAAACATGTCCTGTTGCTGTTATGTGGATATTTAGGCTTTTTATTTATTTTTTAATATTGATTTAGTATTGATAACTCCAAAATATAAATAATTAGACTGAATTTAAATTATTGCCAAACGACAGAATTAAATTTTTTTGAGATCTCCTCCTTAGCAGCTGCCATCTTCACTAGCATGTATGAAAACTACAAAATCAAGCAATTGTCTACCTTTTATCTTCAACATTTTGTGATGTTTTGTCAATGGCTCATTATCAAAAGATTCTCCAAATTTGTCCCTAATTATTTGTTAAATGTGCAAATTAAATAATAATGCAATCTTACATTTTTAGGATAATTTTTTTTTTTATAAATATTAGCTTTTACATTTTTGCTGTTGATGTCCAAGGCTGTGTCCAGTTAGACTTTCATATGTCACTTGATAAAAAGACTGGGCAGATGTGTAAAAAAAAATGGTAGACAACCTGAATAGAATAGAAATTACAACACCTCTAAGTTTAAAAAGAATGTTACATTAACGGCATATGAATGTTCTTGTCAGTCTGAACAGATATATTAACCAGTTGTTTATTCAAATTAAACAACATAGAATTTTTGCACTGAACATTTATCTTGGTGTAAACAAGCCTTTAGGCTGCCAACAATCTCTGATGATTATGCATTTCCAAAATGAATGTAAAGAATTTAGCATGTTGTTTTTAATTTAAGTAGTATTCATGCCTGTACAAAAAATATCAGTGTTACATTTTAAGGGTGTTTCTTTTTACTTATGTACGTATTCTTTTTACGTATATGATGAACAATTTTGATAATGTTTTGAACTGCCTCTTTCTCCAGCATAAAACACAATTTTATTTAAAAAAATTTCAGTGGGCTATAACAGTATTTAGAGAGCATGGTGGTCCATGGTAGATGTAATGGTAGTGTACATAAGGGCCTTTCGCACCGCTTTAGTTCCAGAACTAAATGTACAGTACTAAAGTACTGGGACGATTTTGCGCGAACTATTTCCCAGTACCATTTAAAAGGTTGCATTCACACCGACAGTGTGTACTAGGAAGTGACGTAAGCCGGTCGACAGCGACGTCATTTGTGCGCGGCGTTCAACAACAGAAACGTTCTGGTACTATGAAAAGGTTCCCGCGGTGCGAAAGGCCCCATAATACACTTTAGTGATAGCAATTGAGAAAGGTTTCAAAATATTTAAAAATATAATTTTTTTTAAATGTACACAATATTTTACTGTATTCACAAAAATAATGCAAGTCTGCTAGTTTTTGCAGCTGACACAAGGCAGTAACAGCTTATACGGTAATCTCAAATAGGTAAAGATTAGTCAGTCAATCAACCTGGCTAATGTATCTATCTATAACTAATATTTAATGATGCACTTAAATTTCGACAATCAAAAGTATTCGGCCAAAAAATGAATCATTGGCTTAAGCCATAACAGTGGTGATATTTAATTAGCGCTTCTCTGATGGCAGGTTTTTACTGTGTCAGTGTTTATTCCGAGTACATATATCATTCGAAAATTCATATAAAAACAATACAGCAATTGTAATTAAAATTTTTCTGTACATTTAATTTTTTTATTTGAATGTTGCTTGTTAAATACATTTCTGCGCATCATTTCTAATAATTGTATTCCTGTTCTGGTTCAGGTCTGGAAGTTGGCGGGTCACGGTCTCATGCACTCCTTCAGCACCGAGCATGCTAAACAATCCATATTCCGAAACATCGGCGCCGGCGTGATGCAAATCGAAACCTGCCCAGGCAACCGGATCTTCACCTGCGGAGCCGACGGGACCCTGAAAATGAGGGTCCTTCCAGACCGCTACAACATTCCGGCCAGTATATTCCAGATCCTCTAACACCGGAGCGGCCGTAGAACACTAAAGCTTTCATCGGCACCTCCGCTGTGAATCGTAAACCGGTAACAAATATCTCGCGCTGCAGAATATCTTTACCGCCCCGCCCCACAAAAGACATTGGAAAGCACGCACGAGGTCCCTCGATTCTAACGATCGACTACTGTCATTTCTGGAGACGAATCCAGATAACGTTTTTTTGGTAGGAAAGCCGTATGCATGAGCTGTTTGAGTCATCGCACTCCATTCCCAGGTTATTGGTCGTGCTCTGCAAAAGTGCTCAAAGCTCCATTTTTAAGTGTGTATGTGTGTGTGTTCATTTTGTGCCCATTTTAGCGTCTTAAAATGCCAGCACTGTGCTTCTGCTATCAGTGTAAGTCCAGTTGTTGGATTTTGTTTTTACTGTACGTTTTCTCCTTGGCTGCTAATGTATTTGCGGAGTGTAAAATGGCACAGTACCCTGGCAGCCCGGCAGTTCGCCGCGGCCCCAGAGACACACCCCCTCCCTTCCACACGCACACGCTGCTGTTGACACGCTTGTTTCCATAGCAGCCAAACAGCTAAACATTCCACGCAAGACAATGATGCTTGCTCCTGGAAATGACGTGTTTGACCTTTTCATCTCTGAAATTCTCACTTTGAACAGAAAACGTTTAGTTTTTGCACAAAATATTTCTTAGTTCGTTTGCTCGTTTACTCGTTTTTGTTTCGTTTGTTCTTTTACAAATCCTTGTATTTATATTTAACTTTAGGAATGTAAGGTATGTTTTAGATGTCTGGGACAAAGTGCAACACTGAATAGGTTTGTGTTTTATTTATTTACATATTTATTTTTTCATGTTTTATCTTTTCTAAATATTTGCACTCAGATCTGGTGAAACAATAACACTCTTACGTTACAAGTGATAAAAGCTCTATTAGAGGAAACTGTTGTTTACTAATGAATGTCTGGCTGTGTGTGGCCGAGTAGTAAAAAGTGGAAATAGTTTTAAATTAATAAATATATATAAATATAAAAATGAATTACGACAATAGCTTGTACAAACACAATAATGCTTTTAGTTTTTTTTTTTTTTTTTTT